GACTAGCACTTTGTCTATTATAGTATAAAGGTTAGGAACCACAAGATGTAAAGGCTCAACTATGTTATTTATTGTTCTTAAGTCCTGGAGCAAATTCCATCTACCACTGGGTTGTTTTACAACTCGGAAGTCCACCTGCAAGGCAGAGGTGAAGTAAGGAACTGCTTATGAGGTTTTCCGTCAATTCCAACAACTAAGGAAGAGTTGGGATGGGTGAATCTTTTTATGTTGGAAGAGAACCGATAAAGAGGAGCAAAGAACAGCCAACATACACATACTCTGGCTCTTTTCAACTGCTTTCCTTGGAACTAATGATTCTATAAAAACACCTTTCATGTAAAAGAAGAAAGAAGATAACTTTATGAAATGTTACCAAAATTCATCAGATTCCCAAAATCTGTAATATCTGTCTTCTCATGACTCACTAGCCAATGTGTAGTAAATATCACTTGTAATGTTTTTATCATATTAGGTACCAATATCAATATGACTTATGGAAACAATTACACTGATAAACACAGACATTAACAATTATAACACCAGACTAGGCTACTGTAGTGTTAGCCTAAAAGTTGGCTTTTTTTTTTTGGCCATTACAGTTAGCCCCCTCTGATCTCCAGTTACCTTAACTTGCAAATCAGCATGGTCTTGCAAATCAGCATGGTCTTGCAGATCATCTATAGCTGTGGGACTAGGATTAAGTGTGCTTCCCACATTGGGGGCAAGATTTTATGTAAATAAGACTTGTTGTGGCAAGACGTGAGAGAGACTGGAGCAAGATTCAGGTGAGAGCGGGACCCTGGTAATGGTGGTGAAGAGACTGTAGTATTGCTGAGGAGAAACTGTGGCAAGGTGTAACCTGAGGCTTCTTGCATTTGTGCTGTCCGTAGTTAAAGGGGTTTTTTTGTTCTTGCTGTATGCTTGAAGGAGAAGCTGACTTATAACTGCTATGAGGCAAACCTTGCTGGATTATTTTAATTAGGCTGCTGAACTGAAACCAGAGCCTAGACTAATCAAGGAATTGTGCCTTGGGACTGCTTGGCTAAAACCTGGACTTGTTTTAAATTATAATCTTTGCCTCCCCTACTCTGCAACTTATTTCACTAATAACCCCATTCTCAGTACCACAACTATAAATTAACAATTAATAAAGGAACCTTTTGCTGTTGGTATGGCTCTATAGGCACCATGGGCTTTTATCTGATTTCTGCTCTGGCGCTGTGAAAGGTTATACTATTCCTACTCCCTCTGGCTCTTTCAAAGAGATGTTCATGGCATTGTGACCCCATGTAGCATTTTTTTCTCTTCAGACAGCTAATGACATAGCTCTTCTCCAAGAGTTCATTCAGGAGCCAGAGTTCCCTCCACCTATTGTTCTTCATTACTCTAGGGCATCGTCCTTCATGGATAAAACTAGGTCAACACTACATTCACGTGTTCATGGATAGGAGGAAAAAACAAAGTCCAAGGGTAATAACTTTAGTTGTAGAGTATTTAGATGTCACTTTTGAGTTGTTGAGTATTTACATGTCACAATTTTGCTCATATGCACTCGTTCATATTGAATCACATGGTTATCAAATGAGTGTCCTATCAGTATTTGAAGAGTTATCATTCAGCTATTGATACTTAGGGAGCCAATCCAACCAAACTCACTGCCAATGAGTAGATTCCAACTTATAGGCATGGTCTAGAACAGAGTAGAACTGCTCCATATGGTTCCCAAAGCTATAGATCTTTACAAAAGCAAACTGTTACATCTTTCTCCTGCAGAGCATCTGATGGGTTCAAACCACTGACCTTTAGATTAGTAGCCAAGAGCTTTAATTATCAGAGTTCCTTAATACTAGATGAAGAAGTTAGGAAAGCTCTCTAAAGCACAGATTTATCGATTGTGTCAATAAAAATCCTTATCTTCACCAATTCAGGGTGAAGTAATTGGCTCTTAGGTATGCCAACTTCATGAACTTATAGCACCAGATTAGTAGAAAGTTTGGTCATTTCCAAAGCCCCTTTGCCTATATCTAAAAATCTGTGTTTCTGTTTATTCATGCCTCACATCATACTAAGAAAGCCAAAAGTAAATGCACCTTCCTATGACCAGTACAAAGCACAGATAGTTGCTATATTGGATACTAACTACCACCTGCCTTGCCAGTAGTGTTATTGCTACCAAAAACTAGAGAGCTTCTCTAGTTACTAGTCTTAGCTCTTCTCCAGAGGAGAAAAGGTCTCATTTCTAAACCATTTTGGGTTTAAATCACTTCTAGATCCAAGGAGTATAGAAGTCCTTTCCTCATTTTTGTTGCTATTTTTATTTGTTGTAAATAGGGTA